GGTCTCCCTGGGAGCCGGGAAGTCACGTGGGCGGGGGCCGCGGAGCTGGTCGCCGAATGACAGGTGCCTCTGCAGCCGCCTGTCTGAACCGGTCGCCGAGACTGGGCGAGATCGGGCTGGTTCGTGGGCAGGTTGACTCAGCTTTTCCTTCTGGGCTGGTCAAGTTCGGACACGTTCCGAGCGTGCAGGGGAAGGAGCTAAGTCCTGACTTGTCTCCAGCTGCGGCTATTTAAACCGCGCGTCCGCCCGGCGCACTCACTGGCGTTCGCGGAGAGCGGCGATTCCGGACCTGCGGCCTCAGCCACCTGCTCTCCACTGCTCCAGGTAAGGGCCGTCTGCGTTCGTTCTCGTGCAGGCCTCCGCGAAACGCGCTGCGGATCGCTTCTATACGCGATTCTTTTTACACAGACGCTTCATTATTTCAAGTTTTTATCGTGTGTATGTGTGTTTGTTTTACTTGTAGGCAAATGTGCAATACCAATATGTCTGTGTCTACTGATGGTGCTGGAGGCACCTCACAGATTCCAGCTTCGGAACAGGAGACCCTGGTTGGTATTTTTGTCTCAAGTGTCACTTCTCAAAATGGTTCATTTTATGAGGTGATCAACTAAATTCCATAGGCTTGAGTGACAGCATGGTTTTTTCGATGACATTGTAGGAATGGGGCTTAAACTGTATCTCAGGCCTGGCTGCGACATTGCTTGTTAGGAATCATTATTTTCTTAGCCTTTTACCACTTGGTCATGGAAAATGATTTTATGTTCTTAAACGTGGATGCTTGATGTTGTTTATTCATGACCAGTTTTTGTTTCTGCTTTAGCCTTTTGGTATTTTACTTTTAAAATAGTTTCCTTAAAAGTAACAAAACTCAGGTTTGTTACGAAGATTTTAGGTAGGTGTTACAGAAATGTATAAAAACTGAAAATTCCAGGCTTTCTTCCATGTCTCCTAGACTTTTTCCTGTGTGCATACCCTCATATGAAATAAACATGTGAGTTTAAATCTATTACTGTTCCACATGTTCTGTTCTACTAAAATAGTGTAAAACTAGAAGTATATTGCAGCTTGCATCCTTGTCATAAAATCTACAGAATTGTTTTTCATGGCAGCATAGTATTCCACAGACTCAGTGTACCATATTTTATTACTAATGTGTTTATTGATAGATTTTTTTTTTAGAGGTCACCACACGTTTTTGAGTATTACAAATAGTGTTGCTGTGTTCATGCATCTTAACACAAATGCTATGTGACTATTTCTGTAAGAAAGGTTTAAATAAGTAGTACTCCTGAATCCTAAATTATACACGTATTTGATTGAGAACTTGGCCCTCAAAAGGTAGCAGTTTTCACTCTTGCCAACCTTTATTCGTTACTAACCTTTAATTATTATTTTGCCATTTGGGGGACAAAAGTTACTGTGCCACTATTTAACATTTTATTTCCCAAGTCTCTGGTGAGGCTAAGCATTTCTTCATTTGTTAAATGACTTGTTTCTCCTGGGATTTGCCCAGCTCTGACTATTTTTCTTTTAGTTTTTTTTGCATTTATTAATAATGATTTGAGTAGTTCTTTGTCTTCTAAGTGTATATGACTTTGGCTGTTCACAGATGTTGTATTTAACTTTATGTATTTTTATAAAGTCAGATTTCTTGACTCTTGTTGACTTTAAAATTTCATACTGTGTTTTGGAAGAACTTTCCCATCTCAAGATTATTAGATATAGTGCTGTATTTTCTAGTGCTTTTAATTTTCACATCCATATCTTCACCTGGGATTTATTTTTATTTATTTTTATTTTATTTTATTTTATAGCTAGAGGGCACGCGCACTCGCCAGAGAGAGAGAGAGCGAGCAAGAAAGCACCTCTGATGGGGAACGGATATGCCGCAATTATTTTTCCTCCAGCTTTCTATCCCATCAGAAGTTGGGCGCGCATGCACCAATATGTTTTTAAACTGCTGGTACGGAGGTTTGAATTGCAGTCGGCTTGTGTGACCCGGTTCCTGTGCACAGAGCTTAACCCACGGTGCATTGGACCAGCCTCATCGTTTTATTCTTAAATGTAAGATGAGGAATGGTATTGCCTTATATAGTAGTTTTATTAATGCATATCTTTTAATAAACTGATAGCCTTCTATTGACATTTTAAATTAGGGTTATTTTACATAATTTGAAGTTGATGCAGCATATGTAAAAGTTGAGAAAAATGTGATTTTTAGGTTTTTTTTCTGAGACAGTTCATTCTCAGTACATAAGTACATAAGTAAGCATATTTTTGAAAAGCATGTGATTCAGTTCTACATCTATTATATATCTTAAGTTATTAGGTAATGTCTGTTGGTTAGCTAGAAGTAGATCATTTTATTAAATCTAGTTTTTTTTTTTTTTTTTCCCCCCTTAGGTTTTTGCTGTAGGGTGTGTGTACTCACCAAAGAGAGAGAGGGAAAGTAAGCAATCACCCCCAGGGGAGCTGGCCAACA